GCACGTATCTAAAGTTACCGGTCTCATAAAAATAGTCTCAATTTTCAGGCACGCACACTAATATAAGCATCCCCGAGGTTATGCATCTCAGGAAAGGAAACTTATTTAAAGATATTGTAGGTTTAATGTAGTGTCTTTAGCCATGTAGGTCCATACAAGGTCGGATCCTGCGTTCTTTGCAAATGCAAGTGGAGGGAGGTTTGCCATGTCAAAATCTGCCCATTAGAAATACAAGGCCGTTATTTTTTAAGCGATCGTGGGATTGACCTGCATGGTTTATTTCGCTAAACTTACCTTGTAAGACCCTAGCAAGAAAGGAACGTGTAAGAATCTGTTATCCTTTGGAAGGTTTTCCCTGCATAAGAAATGGCAACCTTATTCTTTAGGGGGGGCTAGTAAAACGCATCCAAACCGATAAACCAATAAATACATCAAAGTACGCCAGACTGTGCTGGAAAAGGAACTGGATCAGACTTGTCCCGTAGGGCAATGACCCAGTAAGATTTTTTCCCGAATTTTGATTTGCATAGCTCTCTTGCTCGCTCCTTCTCTGCCCGCACACACACGCGTGCACACGCACACACTGCAGTATACACTGCATCTTGTGTCTGGCTACACAAGTTTTCCACTACACGGATTCGGAAACCTGCCTGTGAAATGCTCTTTGTTTTCACGCAGCCTTTCTTCAGTTATCCCATTTTATAAAGCTTATTTTTAAAGCAAATTGCCTTCCAGTACCTGATTGATTATTCAACTTTCCAATATTCTCTATTTTCCAGACTATATTCGCATCGGGGAGTAAATTCGTCTGAGCACATCTATATGGTTTTTAGGCAGCCAGAGGTTCCCTTTTCGGACCCGCTCCCTATTTTTGCTGCCTCGCAGTACCGGAAGGCAAACTACAGCAGCCCAGCGCCCAGTTACTCCGTTTTCCCCGTTTCAGTGGCGGCAGGGGCAGACAGCGAGGCGCAGAAAGCAGGCGAGGGGTAGGAAATGCCGTTCCCCCCTTTCCTCCTCCCCCCTGCCACTCGCAGGTGCCCCTTCCGCGGGGTTAATGCGCTCGGCTTTGTAACCTCCGCTCCGGGGGCTCGTGCGCTGAGGATCGCCTCTCGTACAGTCATCTCGGAGCGGTGCATTCGCTCTATTTATTAAACAACATAATCTACCGCATTCTTGGATAAATGAGCTTCGTTGGGACACGACATCAGCCTTGCTTAGCCCACCATGAATGACATCGGGCTCGTGATTGATATGAAAACCCCCATGCTAATTTTGCTGCAGTAGACTCAGTTTCTCTGTGTGCATTGAACGGGGCAGTGCTAGCTCTGATATCCGCCTTCAAAAGGCACATATTTTGTCAAAGAAAAACAAGCCTAATGTCTCCGAAACAGCCTAATTCTCCGATCGTTCAGAAACTGCCTCTTGAAATCTGCTGGGAAATGTTAGCATACTGACCGCGGTGTTAATAATTTTGTAACACGATGATTTTATCTATGCTTAGTATAACTTTGAAAGCTGAATAATTGCCTTTTATATGTTGCTCCTTTCGTATCTTGTACTTTATCTACCGGAGCATTTATACATTAAAAATCTAAATATGAACGGACAGCTTGGCTCGCCGAATCCGCGTCTCTGGGCTCTCCTCAAAGTGCCACAGGACGAACCACGGCGACTTTTGGTACCGACCCACACTGCGTTGTAGAGAAGAAGCTCCTGGGGACACTGGGAAACCAGCCTCTCTGTAAACTGCTGTCCACCCTGAGATTATGGGGAATTCAGTAAGGTGGCTGCTCACGTCTTCCTGGCATAAATTAGCAGAAGTGTATCTGACTGATTTATTTATTTTTCCCAAACTAAGGGTGTTATAAAAGGCACTTTCCGCAGCTCGTGTTGACAAATAATTCGTGAGCTACCTGACAGTGTTAGTCCAGTTGTTGCCCAGATGTCTAAATATCCCCTAAGAGACGTCAGTGCCGTTTAGCGAGAGAATTGCCTCAAATGAAAACCAGAAGGAAGATAGGTTTTCTCCCCGCTCAGAAAACACTCTACACCTGACGGCAGTAACACAGGAAAGGGTTTTTTTTTTTTTTTTTAGAGCCGGTATCACCTTCCTCCATAGCAACGATCGCTTTAAGACGTGGCTGTGGGGGGGGGTCTTTTTTTTTTTTTTGTTTAATCCATACCTTCACTAAATGACTTGCGTTCGCGTTTGTTTAACAACGGGGGGCTTCGGTAAACAAGACAATCAAAAGAACATTTGAGACTCTGTGGATACATTTCTCTGGTGCTTGTAGACGTCTGGACACCCAGAGGAGTTCTTGAGTTCTTTTCCTTCTATCGTTTCTTTATTTACCCCGATGAGCGTAGGGAAATCTTTTAACCAAAGCGAGATTTAAGGTGATAAGCAGTGAACAGGCTGCCGGTACTGGAAGCCTGAGCTTCGAGTTGTACCACTCCGTACAGCAAAAAGGACGGCGTGTTTCAAACACGTTTTATTTGTAGACATTTTTGTTCTTTCGAAAACCAATAACGTTTATTCTTGCTTGAAATATTTGGAGGGTGGATTTACCGGTGCAATTTAATTTTAAATAAGTCTTTTCACGGAACGCTTACGCCAACTCTTTTGGGAATTTTATCAGGTTTTTTAGCGTCCCTTAGGGTTTTAAGGAAGACTGTACGACCCTTCTTTCACCCAGGGTCTTTCTGCTCTATCTACTCTTTTTTAGGAGTGAGCAGTTAAAGCTGCCTCTGCCTTTTTCCAGGGGACCAGCGAGCTTAGGGAGACCCTCACTCCCTGGGAAAGAAACCTCTTCGGTCGACACTTACTTGCTGGGAGTTTTAAAGTGCCGCTGCCTCGTGATGCAGGAGCTTTCTGTCTATTTTGCTTGTTTGTTTTTTGTTCCCCCCTCTCCCCCCCTCGCAGCGTGCACCAAGAAGATTTGTAAAATCGCCCTCCTCGGCGCTCCCCGCCCCCCCGAGTGGCGCGGCGGCCCCGGGCTCAGCCGTATCGCGCTTGGGGCCAGCGGAC